AAAAAAAAAAAGGAACGGAGGACAGAGAGAACCCAGAGCACAAGGAGAGGCACGCCAGAGAGCAAAGAGGGCGGGACAAACGAGTCAGAGCAAGGACCATGAGGACAGGCTAGTTTTGATTGGTGAATCTTTGAACACGCAGAGGGACATTTGATAGCTGCTGTAAAGAAGCAAAAAAGGGGACCCTTTTCCAAACAAATTCCAGGATCGGATATCTAGGACAAAGAAATCATATCAAATAGGAACAGTCTGCTTCGTGACCATTCAAGAATATGCATTGCCAAATATGACTATATGTTCTTTTGATATCATGGAAAAACCGAATAAAGAATTTAAACTTTTACAAAGAGACTAAAGAGGGTTATTCCAATATCAAGTTAATTTTAACTCCAAGACAGACCACCTATTAATATTACTGTCAAATGGGTTAGTGAGCCATATTCTTTTTGAATTATTATTACTCTGATAACATTACAATGATTTCAATACGACGTCTAAATTTGAAAAGCACGACATCCAGTCTCAGTAGCAGCATCATTATTTTTTGAAAATACAGTGTATCCATGGGTGTCAAAGCTGATACTATGAAAATATCCTTGACGACGAATTTACATTTCGTATAGCATGAGTTTTGCTCTCACCATTGGATGCATTAATTTTCGATCACTTTCCGGAAAGAGTGTATAACTCTCACACAATGTCAATTAAATATAACAGATGGAGCGTTGATGTTTTGAATAGTTGCTGAGTGAAAATTTTAAGCAAGCGCTGGTATAATTCGCGTGTACGTGTGTGTTCAATTGAAAATTTTAGTATACTTTTTTTTTCGTTTATTCTACTTTAATGGACAGCAATCCTAGTAACAATAATGTAGATCTACCCTTTTAATCAATCAAATATAACTTACCCCTCTTTTATTAATGTTAGAGTGAATACGATTTACCTTATGAAGAAGAGCTCAAACGTAATCCTTACAACCTTCACTCTTGGTTGAAATACATTGACTATAAGAAGAGCAGCGGCACTTTTGAAGAACTTTGTCATGTCTATGAACGTTCTGTTCAAGAGTTACCAGGCTCATACAAATTATGGAAACAATATCTTGATTTGCGTTGCAATAAACTAAAGGGTGTCAATGCTGCTCGAGAACAAGACAAGTATAATCAAGTGCTTGCTTTATATGAACGCTCTTTTATGTTGCTACATAAAGTAAGAAAGAAAGAGCTGATGTCATGATTATCCTCTAAACAATTGATAGATGCCTCGAATTTGGTTAGATTATCTTTCCTTATTAACAACCATGCCTGTCATCACTAGAACAAGACGAGCATTTGACGAGGCCCTACGTGCTCTTCCTGTCACTCAACACAGCCGAATATGGGAGCTTTACTTAAAGTTTGCTAAAGCAGCAGGTGGAGAAACAGCTGTTGCGATTTACAAACGTTATATAAAAGTAGGATACATGTTTTGAATTATACACATTAGAATCTAATGAATGATCATAGCTTGAACCTACATTTATTGAAAAATACATTGAAGAATTGATCCGACTTGAACGTTATGATGAAGCAGCAGTTCAGCTAGTGAAAATAGTAGACGATAATAAATTTAAATCTATACGTGGAAAATCAAACTATCAACTATGGCAGGATCTGTGTGAGCTAGTCGTAGAACACTGTGATGACATTACGAGTATCAATGTGGAAGCTATTATTCGAAGTGGTATCAAGCGATTTACAGATCAAGTCGGTATACTTTACTGTCGACTAGCCATGTACTGGATCAGAATGGGTCAATTAGAAAGAGTAAGGATACAATACAAAAAGGAGACAAAAGCATGAGATTAATGTTATTGTAGGCTAGAGATATATTTGAAGAGGGTATCACCACTGTACTCACAGTTAGAGATTTTACAGCTATTTTTGACGCTTATGCAGAGTTTGAGGAAGAGATGATCACAACCAAGATGGAAATGATAAAAGAGCGAGAAGCAGAAGGAGAAAGAGACGAAGAGGAAGACGTGGATCTTGACATCAGATTGATGCGATACGAACATCTCATGGATCGTCGTCCTTTCCTAGTGAATGACGTGTTACTACGACAAAATCCAAACAATGTCATTGAATGGCAACAGCGTGTCTTGCTTTGGGGAGACAATAAGGATAAAGTTGTCGAGACTTATACACAGGCGATACAAACCATTCATCCCAAAAAGGCGCATGGTAAACTACAAGATCTTTGGGCCAAATTTGCAAGATTCTATGAAGACAACGGTGATATTGAATCTGCTCGAGCTATTTTTGAAAAGGCTGTCAAGGTCAACTACAAGACTGTGAATGATTTGGCCGATGTTTGGTGTGAGTATGCGGAAATGGAGACGCGACAAGGTGATTTTGATCGAGCTATTGATACTATGGCTCGTGCTACACAGACACCTAAATTGCTGAATATGAATTCAAAGCATGTCAACTTCCATGACGAATCACTTCCTGTACACCATCGATTGTTCAAGAGTCTTCGTCTGTGGAGTTTCTATATTGATCTTGAGGAAAGTGTAGGCACGGTAGAAAGTACAAAGGCAGTGTACGACAAGGTCTTGGACTTGAGAATAGCCAACCCCCAGACGATTGTAAACTATGCTACATTTTTGGAAGAGAATCAATACTTTGAAGAATCGTTCAAGGTTTATGAACGCGGTATTGATCTGTTTGGATATCCCATTGCCTTTGAACTTTGGAATATTTATTTGGAACGATTCTTAAAGCGCTATGTAAGTTAGAAAACATTCGGAAAGTGAAGCCGGAACTCATGATATTTTTGTTTTGACAGGGTGGTACGAAGTTGGAACGTGCCAGAGACTTATTCGAGCAAGCTTTAGACCAGTGCCCGCCCAAATATGCTAAGCCGATTTATTTAATGTATGGCAAACTAGAAGAAGAACACGGATTGGCCCGTCATGCGATGAGAATCTATGACCGTGCCACCAAAGCAGTTGCTGATGAAGACAGACGAGAGATGTACGAATACTATATTGCCAAGGCAACCGAGTGCTTCGGTGTCACGGCTTCACGCGAGATTTATGAAAGTGCTATCGAATCTTTACCTGACAAGGACGTTAGAGTGATGGCTCTGAGATATGCAAAACTAGAAGAAAAGCTTGGAGAAATCGAGCGTGCCCGTGCCATCTATGGATTCGCAGCTCAATTGTTTGATCCTAGGGTATATACTTTAAATATAAGTGGATAACGTACTAATACTGTTTTTAGAAACAAACTGATTTCTGGAAAACATGGCATGACTTTGAAGTCCATCATGGAAATGAAGATACCTTTAAAGAAATGCTTCGTATCAAGCGAAGTGTACAGGCAACGTTTACATAAATCATCTTTATTTAGAGCAATAGCGTGTTTTTAAATCAGTAATGCAAAGAAAAAAATAATAAAAGAGAGGGAGAGAAGTTTTCATGTGTATGAATGTGTGTATGTAACATGTATGTAGAAAAAAAGTTGCATAAGTTGTGAATCTTTCAACTGTTTTAAATATGTATATAAATGCATCTATGACAACAAAAACGATAGGGTGGGTCTGTTATTCTTGATAGTGGTAGGAGAAAGAGAAAGAGAAAGAGAAGGAGAAGGAGAAGGAGAAGGAGAAGGAGAAGGAGAAGGAGAATCGGTCATGGAAGTAGTACTAGTGCAAGTAGTAGAGACAGATGAAGGAGACTTTCTGACCATCTGTTTACCTATTAGGGAAATGTGAGTTTATATGTCTAGCTATTGACAAAACAAAACATACATGCATCTTGATCTTTGAGGGCTTTCTTTGCCTTCTCTTGCTTGCACAGTTTAGTCCAAACTAAGTAAAGAAAGGAATAATGAATATTCTAAATTTAATTTGATCACTCTATTTGATGCTCTTCCCCCCTTTTTTCATCTTTCCCCCCAGTTCCCCGCCCCCTTTTTTAACCATTTTGCCCATGTATCTAAACTTACTTAGACCACACGCATTACACAAAGTACGAGGTCCTGTTTTGTTAAACAAGGTTAGTCTGAGAATAGGAAGAAAAAAAAAAAGTGATTCACCTAAGGGTCCTTTACGCCACTCTGGTGTTTCGGTACTAGATTAAAGTTAGATCATTATATTTCTTTATACATAAACTAAAAATACCTTTGACAGGAGTGACACTTTAATGGAAAGGTAACTTTTTGTGACGTAAAAGAAGATAGGCTTCTCTATAGGAGGAATATGGATGTCAAATCACAGAAGAAGGTTTAGTGAAGTTAACAAATATTTACATGCTTTTTGGTAGTGCGTGCCGTTGCACGAACACTTTGTTGAGATACGACAGGATAAGGGGAGTATGTGGATGAGGCTGATCGAGAAATATAACAATTAAGTTCACTGATACTAGGTAAACGCACATTTATTTGTTGAGGGTTAATGACGGATCGACCGTCCAATAGATTGACATCGGATGCATAAACCTGTGAAGGGTTTTAGCTTGTACATCTAAACATATTATATGCTCTTTACGTTCTTATTCGACATATTGTAGATATAATCATCTCTACAACAAGTTGTCAGCATAAGGATATTAGCTTTTTTCTTTATTTACCTTATGGAAGGTAATGTAAGTCTATTGAATGACTGTTGCTCAGAATAAAATTGCATAGCTTAAAGTGAGAAAAAAAAAAAAAAAAAATACAAGGAAAAAACGAAAATAAAAAAGAAGGGCCTTTTTATGTGATTTCAATCGTGAATAAAGTTTTTGTTTTTCTTAACAACGATTCAAAAGGGTTACACTAAGAGTATAGTGAGCGTATATTCTCATCCATTATATTTTTATATATCAGGCAAAAGCCCGATGCTTTCTTTAAAATTGACAAGACATAAGATAGTATTAGGGGTATACAAAGTTATCACATGGAGCATATATGGGAGTTTATTCTGTCAGCAATTAAAACCCTACGCCCATTTCCCCCTTTCCCTTTCTCTCTCTCACTCTCTTTCACTTTCTCTTCCTTTTCCTCTTTCTCTCTCTAAGAAATAAGATCAGGAGATAAAAGACAGAACTAAGGGATATATAGACATATTCTACAAAGATACAGATTAACTTAAAATGTAAATCATACAGTTGATATATAGAATGCTATAATTCCTAATTTCTCGATTCACTTATGCGGTGTAACGCCCATTCGTCGCCTTATTTCGCTGTGCCTTTTTGGAATGAGTGAAGCTTGTTTGACGCGAGGGAATATATGTATGGAACTAAAACTAAAAATAGATGCGGCACATTTATTTTTCTTTATGCATAGGCTTGATTGCGGTTCAAAGTTCTAATTACACACAGGTTTTTCTTTTTTCTTGTTTACTAAAATGAAGAAAACTGCAATTGGCACACATGGTCATTGAGCTAACAGACCGCCTAGTTTATTCTATAACCAAAACGTTATTTATGATTATCATCTCAAAGTAATGTAAACAAAGCATTCGCACTGGATTATCGATCCTTATATATATTTAAGATTCAGTACTAACCAGACATTGTACCAATCAGATCACTGTTTTTTCACTCGGCTGATTCAGATCGTCCATGCCCTATCCATTGAGAGTAACATAATTTACTTCTTAAACAACGAAATGTTTGAGAATTGTTTAAAAAGGATAGTTCAGTGATCGTCGTGGATATCAGATTTCAAAAGTGTAGATCTTAAAGATACATAAAGAGCAACAGGAGCATATACTATATATATACCGAGAGCAAATCAGGCTCCCCTTATTTGATCAGTTTCTTTTTATTAGCACTGATTATTAATAGTAGTAATTCTTGTATTCCATTTCTTAATAATATACATGCGAGTATCCAATAGAAGAAGGTTGATTTATACTGAATGATTTTCTTTATCATCTTGGCACCAAAATACTGTACAAAGAGTCTTGTATCAGTGAACCATCTTTTTCTCTTCTTTATGGATGAACTGTTGTCGACTACAGTCAGCTTTTCTTTTGAGACTAAGGGAGAAATCCCTAACTGGTGATCTCCTCCTGACGATGATAAAGATGAAGATGCTGTTGATGATGTAGGTACGGTAGTAAAAAGATCTTGTAACTTATTGACAATCTTGCTCGTATTTGCCGATTGCATAGACAAAAACAAAAGATTAGAATGACTTGTGATTGGAGTTAATGGACCAAGTGGAGTTTCATAGTGACTAAAAGCGGACGATGGTCTTGATAATAGTCCATTGGGCGCATCGTAATAAACAGATGTTGCTGAATTACATCGACTGAGAAGATTGAATCTCTGATAATAATTGTCGTGCTCGATAGACCATTCAAATGGATCTTGACCTCCAAATACTAGTAACAACAACAACAAAAGGGAAAAATTAAGTTTGGTATGACATAATAATATACTTAATTTACCTTTTAGTATGTTCTTTGGCTCAATCAGTTCCTGTAATTCATGCAATTTTGGAAAGTTGACTTTTAATTTCGCTTCTTCAGATAATACCAGCTTACACATTTGCCATAGGCCTTGATAAACCCAACTAAAATTAAGCAAGTAGACAGTTCCAATAATACCAGGGTACCTTCGTAGTAAAGAGATCAACGATTTGAATAACGTAATATCCTACAGTCAATTGTTTATATGCATACTCATAAAAGATAAACATGTGTATGTTACCATTGGTAATGAGCTTGCGTTTTTAAAGTCGATGAGCACAACCGTCTCGAGAATTGACAAGCCATTTACTTCTATTCTCTGCTTACACAAATTCCATACAAGTTTTCTTGCTGTTTCCAAAACAAACATGATTAATGGAGATAAATATTCTACCAAGTCAGTTGATGAAGACGGAAGAGTTGGTAGTTGAGAGAGATGAACAATAAGAATTGGTCGATGGTATTTATCAAATTTATGGAAATAAACAAGTGGTCTAGTAAAGAATTCATGTTCCAGCATGGAATAATCAACTTCTTGATGCATTCTCCATTTTATTGTATCTAGCAGTAGAGATAGAGTGGTTGGTACATTGAAGTTGTTTTTACGCAAGTATCGAAATAAGGTAGCTGATAATAATCATAAGTAAAAACATTATCTATAAATGATCTTTGAGAAAAAACTACCCTTGTCTTGAATAAACTCATTTAAATGGTTTGCTTCTTCACTTGTCAAATCATATTCTTCTACCAGAGTCGCTATTTCCTTTTTTAGAGTACGCCTTACATTATCAATCATGTATTCATGCTCCTTATAGAGTCTATGAAGCTCAGCTTGTCGCTTGTCCATGTTTGAATAAAATAAAATAAAATAAAAAAAGAACAAGTAATCTTTTTTCTTTCTCCACAAAATACTGAAATTTCACGTGTAAGATTATCAGTATGCGCAAGGGGCTAACTTAAGGGTGCGCATAAAAAAATATCTATATAGGCCCAAAAATGCACACTATCAAAAAGTATGTCACATGGTGTCATCCTTCAAAGCATAAATATGGGTTATGGATACGCCTAGGTTTGTTTGATACGTTCACTGATGATGACTACAACCTTGTGTTGATTTGATGGAGCGGCAAGTGAAGGGAATCATGTGCTAATAAAAGATATTTGCTGGTTAACATCGGCTTATTTGAGTTTATAGGGTACAAACTTCACCTTACTGCGCCTCTCATGTACAATGATGTTCTAATCAGTCTTGATAAAAACAAGCTATTGATGGAATCATATATTGACTTTAGTCGTCGAGCTTCATTCTGCTAAGCAGTAATCATATGATATGCCCAATTGCGGAAAGATGACTTAAGAGCTTCTTTGTGTAAAGACATTTTAGTGTATATAACGATGTCGTAATCAATCCAAAAAAGTCATACTTTACTTGATGTGAGTATGAAACGTTATCTTTTTTTAGTAGGCTTTGCTTCGAAATATCTTACAGCTACGATTTATTGTATGGAAACAGAGAAAGAGGCTGGTGAAGTATCCGTCATTTCAGAAAGAGTAGTCATTTGCGTTTTCCTGATAGAATGATACACAAGTCGTTGTGTAAAATGGACACTATATTAGCTGTGTATATGCATATGCAACCACGCGCATCTTATTCTAATAACATTTCGGTTCTTCTTTTATAAAGAATCTGATTTGCATGTCGTCGACTTAACTGCTTTTTTTCAATAATGAAACTGAAAACAAGTGGTCTGCTGCTGAAGTGCGATTCTGCTTCATCCCTTTGACCTGAGAGAGGAGAAGAGAAGCGATAGAGATGTATGAATTGTTTGCATAGATTTATGTAAAAAAAAAAAAGTCAATCTTGGTACATCAAAACTCGATTGTCTAATAAATATACTTATTACTCATTTTGAAGAAATAAAAGTATCGAAGCATATGCGGGCTCCTGGAAAGAGTAAATAATTCTGATGTCTTGATGTGTTATAAATATACACTTTTACATGTTTGCAACTCTCTCGCTATAGAAGAATCTCAAATTACAGCTGAGACGGATCCTGTTTGGTGCTCTCTTTATTATTCACAAGCCACATACGTCAGATACCCAGGAGACTATGGTACTATTCATGATAACAATCTCATTGATGTCTGCCCATATGAAGAAGAAGAAGAAGAAGCCGCCTTTTATAACACAAATTTAAGACTCTTTAAAGATCAATGGTTAAGACTTCCAAAGTCTTATTGAAATGCTTAATGACGAGAAGTTGAGATAATTGCTGTAGATGAAGAAAGCATGTTTTGCAATAGCCATTTTATGAATAATTAAAAAAGACCACTTATGTTTAATTCTTTATGTATACGAATAATAATAAATAAGTATGCTTTGCTATCTTTAATAGTAGAATGGTGTTTGCCGTCTATTTTAATTTGAAAGGGCCCTGGGATGGCCCAAGGTGCGATAACTAAATCCATAGAAGTAACGGCAACTGACCGTTGATGGCTTGGCACTTCAGCAATAAGTATATGATAAAAATGAGTGAGACCATGTCACTCATAAAGTCCTTCTTCAATGTATCTATGAGAAGGGCTTCTATCCCCATTTTGAAGAACTCGACAACTATGATGAAAGGACTAGACTGTGGAAAGAACTTTATGTGTGTTTTTGTGAACAACTAGAAATTACTCAGTATCAAATTAAGAACTATGTCACAGAATCTTCTATTGCTATGCTCAATAGGAATAGCTGCGGCAACTTCTTCCATTGTTGGCAGATTATGGGTGCGTCTATCGCTCTCTTCAATTAGCCTCATTCTTATGGAGGGATTAGCGATGATGTAGGGCAATCCACATTTGATAAAGCCATTGCTGTTAAATATATCTTCGCTGTTGATGATGGAGCTCTTATGATTGCTCAATATCCCATATGCATAGCAGTAAATAGTGCGAAGGGATTGCATTGGGTAAGCATTGCTGAAAGATTTCTTATAATCTTCTGGACCATATTTTCATTCTCTTCTGATTGTCTCTGCGCAGCACATGAAGGATTATAAATATACAATTGGGTATACAAAGGTGTATTATCCTCAGCTAGAAGTAGAGGGCCTAGACAGTAACAAAGGGCACCTCAAATAGTATGAAAAGGACAAGAGCTACTGGGGCTATCAAAGAGTATGCTCAATAAAATAGCATTTCCATCAACCAAGCCGCTATAAAAGAAGAATCCTCTACACAAAGGAAAGACTTGTGAAGTATCATCAATATATAAAAATAAAAGAAATTATTGATTTAAACTTTAAGGATTTCACGCCTTTACTGTAGGATGAAATTTATATATAAAAGGATAAGAATGCGAGTAAAGAAGGGAAAGGAAGAATAAACATATGCTAAATAATATAATGAATGCTATTATTAATAGGATCTATAGAATGTGTTTTTTTAATGACCAAAAGCAGCTACGCTTTCATCATTAGAATAGCTTGAAGGAGCTATCTGACCAGGTAATTGTTTGGATTGGGGCTTTTTCAATGGTTGACATGTGCTTTCAGAAGAAGGCGCCAAAAGTCCTTTGTGTGGTACGGGAAGCCAAAAGGACATGCGCTTGGCAATCCAAAGCGAGATATTCAGAGGCAGCAAGACTAAACTGACAACTACACCATGAGCTTGTTGACGCTGATCTTGTTCTATACGATAACAAATGTACTGATCAAATTCTTTAACCTTTTGTTCAATAGCAGTGAAATGCTGTTGAGACCAAGTTCTGAGTGCATTATCACGTTTTTCAAAGCGATGTAAGGTCTTGGTTAATTGCTGGAGGGTAGGATTGATATCTTCTGTGATCTGTGTGAGTATAAAAAGATAAATATGACATGTGATATATAATATATGTATTAATTTCATTTACTTGGCCTAGATCTTTTTTGGTAGCATAGGCACGTCTGAGGACATCTATTTCTTTTTCAAGGAAGCGAATACGACTTTGTAACATTTCAACTTCTGTTTCACTAAAGGCAGCTTCATTCTGAAGATAGAGTGTACGCTCCTGGAGTAAGAGGGTCACGTGAGATAGAGGTTTAATGGAGGCTGCTAATGTAAAAACGGTAATGTTGAATGCACTGATATATTTATCGGCGTTGGCAAAAAAATATCGACTGTATCGTAATGTGTACCCAGCAATCAACGGAGATAAAACTACCCAGACCAATCCAGCTAATTCGTGACGACGAAGCTCTGCATGAATAGATTGTTGTTTCTCACGTTCTGTTTGTAACTTGTGAAGATATGCTGCTTCTTCGGTTTTAGGGCCTGCCTTTAACTCTACTGAGGATTGTTGATGGATCACTCTACGTATTCTTGCGCTTTCATAATAAGACCATGGCACTAAATAAATTAGACTCTAATGCAATTATGAATATACAGTTGTTGTACCTGTCATCCATTTATAAACATAAAATAGAATTAATAAAATCATAATGAAATCACTCCAAATCTCTGAACTTCCTGCAAAGAATGCACCTAATGTAGGGACACCAGCCAAAAGAATTGGCCATGACACTGCAGCAGAGAAATCATCACCAACAGAAGAAGGAGTAGGTGGTTTATTTTTTGAATAAATCGTGTCTGTCATTGTTGAAATTAAAACAACAAAAAGGAAAGGAGAAAGTATGAAAAAAATAAATAAATGCTTATTTATCTGTTCGACGCAATTCATATTATCATCATCATCACCTGTTAGGCAGTCGTACAAATATAGGCGTACATAAAGGGCCCTTTGAAATCAAGGCAGTGTTACATTAAATTGGATGGATCACGAATTCATAAAGTATCATCATAATTAAACAAAAACGATCTTGGCTATTCCAGATCTCTTCATCCTCTGTTCTCTCTGCTCTCTCTTTGTTCGTTCTTCTATTAAAAGAGTCGATGGTGAAAACAGCACAATTTCATAAAATATAATTGGCTCAAGCATGTGATTTAATCTACGCTCTGCTTTTTCCTTTTCCGTTCATTTTGAAAGCTACAGAAGTCGTTTTCATTATTTTATTTCTTTCTTTCTTGTTTTTTATTTATTTTTATTCTGTCGACAAACAAGTACAATAGGGAAAGTGTTAGCTTTGACGACATTCAATGAATGAAGACTATAGCAAAAGCATAGATGCCGCTTTAAAGCATCTCAGTGTTGACGAGGGCACGTCTGCTATTCTGGAACCAAGGGGATCACCTTTATCCGACTCTTTTCAAATAACTCGCAAATACATAGAAGCAGATATGAGTGATTTTAATTTCCCATTACGTAAACAGTGCTCTACTTCCTTTTTACGGCCATTGTCCTCTTCTTCTCAGCCCAACCTTGTGGCAAAGGATGATGCTCACCTCTTCACAAATACTCCTTCTCCTTCCGTCTCGCATTCTCCACCAAAAAGAGTCAGCATGCTTGGCCAAGATATTACCGAAAATGACGAAAAATACATGAAAATGGATCCAGCTGATCTACTCCACTTTCGAAAATGGATGGTTGGATTTTGCATTGTTAACTTTGATCTGGAAATTGGACAAGGTAAGCTATATTTGCTTGTTTGTTTTTTTTTTTTGGTGATAGATGATATTGAAACATCATAGCCTTGGACTATGTCTATCCTCCAATGGATCTAAGCCTAGAAGAGCAAAAAAATATGTAAGGGAAAAAGAAAAAGAAGGGGGATTAGTGTTGTTTAATGATATCACGTATAGCTGCTTTTCTGCATTTCCAGATTCCAATGTTTTCGAAGTAGGAGATCAAATCTTTAGTATTCGCGTTAAGGCTAGCACATCTAAGTTTGCAGTTTCAGGTTTTTGTTATTGTAAATCTCTTTATAAACCCAAAGACTAATTTGTATCATCAGGACCAACGGCTGAGGCGGGATTTCTTTATGGATATATATTTTTTAGACAAAAAAAGGATTCTAGTATCAGACGTGGATATTTTCAGGTATGTTGTGGCACGAAGGAATATTATGTGTGGGAGAGGAATACTCATATGCTTAGAAAGAAATCTCTCGTCCTGCTTTCACAACATCCTTTTGTGGGGTTATTTTCAAGAATTGTGTCCATATTAGGACCAGCCTTTTTTGATACAGGTCAGCCTATGCTAGAAGCCGCTTGTATGAATATTGCACAATGGTAAGTATATACACAATAAAAAAAAAAAGAAAGAGAAAGAGAACGGCAACTCAATTAGCTCATAGGGGCTCACCAGAAGACGGAAAGGCACTCGAACTCCCATTTATGGGACGAATATTACAAGTTGAACTACCCACCTCACTAAAGCCACAGCTACTGGAAACTACGCCGTTTGATATGAACAGGTTACAGCCTGATTTGCAGGTAATGTTTATATATCTATATATATATAATGATCTAAATGGACCATCAATAGATCATGGCATCGCTTCCTGTAGGCGGATTATATTACCACTTTAAAGATATTTTGAAAGATTTGTGGCTACTGTGGGAGTTGATGTTGCTGGCAGAACCTATCGTCGTTATTGCTACTGAGCCTAGTGTCTGTAGTGAAGCTGTTGTATCCTTAGTAGATATCATTAATCCCGTATGTTTAGATGGTTATGACAGCCATGATGAATTCGCTCATTTATACATGTTTCATAGATTCCTTATTGTGGAGACTATAGACCTTACTTTACCATACAAGATTCTGATTTCAAGTGCTTTGTTAACAAGAATAAGCCTCTGTCAAGCCTTGTTATCGGCGTAACCAACCCCTTTTTTAACACCGCAGTTGAACATTGGCCAAACATTGTTAGAGTTGGACGTCAGCAACTGAGGTATAGATAATTCAAGTAAAGAAAGATTTTTTTTAATAGTAGTCTTTAGGAAACCAGATGGTACACTTAAACCTCATACGACTAAACCAGGGCTTGGTTCTAAATCTAACGTACTCTACAACTTCGTTCAGGTATTAAAGGGAATTGACTAGTGAGATAACAGACAATTCATCTTGATGTCATAGGGTGTCACATCAAAAAGAAAAGCGGTTATTTCTAAAGATAGAACACTTATCAAGATGCTGACTGAAGCATCTGTCAGAGGATATCCACCTGGTAATATGATGAATCAGCTAGTATGTAAATATATAGCTAATGACCTAAATAGATTGGGTGTTAAATAACATACTAAGAAGGCATTTTGTGGATCTGACAGAAAAGTTTCTTGTGCCTTTAAATAGATATTTTAGTACATTAATTCCTGTCAACATGTAAGGTGAACATTGATCTATTGTATATCATATTCATGTGTCATCTAAATAGATCAAGCAATGAACCTCTGAGGTTAAGGCCATTTCAAACAGATCAATTCATGAAATCACTAAAAGCGCATGGGCCACAGCTACCTTTCAAATCAACCTTTAAAACTCGCACATCAACCATAGATCCAACCAAGGAACTTTATTCACAGTTTTTAAAGTGCGGTAATTTTGCTACTTGGCTACAACAAAGAACAGCAAAGGCAGAGATAGAAATGAATAAAATGAAAAGAATATAGCGTGTGTATATTCCCCTAGACTACTGTTGCTATAACTACGACGGTAACAACTACTACTTACTTGATGTATAATGATTGTAAATACCCTTATTATATAAATAATTCTATAAAAAAAAAAGAAAGAAATATAAAACTATGCACAAAAGCCTTTGATCTTTTAGGAGGGTTTGATCGGGATTACTGCGATGATAGAACAATGTATTACCATGTCATGCATATATCATACATGTTGCTTTAAGATTTATTTCATTTGTAATAAACAGCCTAGTAAATTTCAAATCCTTTGAATGATTTTACTATCACTGGCGATACTCGAGTTCCAAGCTTCAGAAAATTTCCTATTAAAAAAGCCATTATACGATGAAGTCGCTGATCTACACGTCAAATATGCTAATTCCGAATAATTATCACTGGTGCAGACTAAGAGTATATCTCTTGGTTTCCAAGATTCCTCAAGCAGCGAAAGTAGCCCTATCTACAAGTCCAGAAAAATAAAACGATGCGTTTAGAAAGCTATGAAAGGAACATAGAGTAAAGAAAACAGTATTTTATTATTATTAGTTTCAAACTACGAATAAAAATGCGTGGCTCAGAGAGCGTAGTATCAGATCTTCCACCTCCATTTCAGCAACTATACGAGATTTGCTCCATTTATTTCTCTTCGAAAAGCGAAAGAGGCTAATTTTATGTTTAACTATGAGAATCATGTTTATTCAATAAGCTTGATATCTGTCTCTTTTGAAAAGGGTCTAATAATAATGATAATGATCGCTAACAAAATGAATTCGTCCAATAAGATTTAAAACTCTGTATCATTCAATTACCGCAGAAGGGACACAAAAGAACGTGTCTGGATTTCTGAATCCTCTCCTCATTTGGCAGGTTTCCATCATTACAAAAATATTTATTTATTTTCCTCTTTTATTTATCCTTGCTTCCTTTTTCTTTTTTCTTTTTCCCTTTCTTTGTTTTCTTATCTTTGTCCATAATAACATACTATCAACACTCCTAATGCCTACGTTTACTTCAAAAATATCAAGAATGAAATCAGTCAAATTATCCTTCAACAAAAAAAGATCCGAAGAAGAAGAGCAAAAGGATCAAAACCAGTCAGTGGAACATCCTATTTACTACAATAATAACCTGAGCACTCCTGAAATATATCAATCAACTGTATTACCTGTATCAGCAAAGAGTTTTACAGAAGCATTAAATGTTATTTCAAAGGAAGCAAAAAATACCCAATATGATGATGTCTTTGATAGCTTCTTTTTTAATGATAAACGTTGTCAACACCGAGCACTCTTTATGGCTTCCCGCTTAAAACAGAGTTTGGACATTAACCCTATTCGTTTTAGCTCACCCACATTACGTACATCAACACCGATTGCTGTCCAACCGTCTCAAAGCACACCCGTAAAAGCATCCTTAGGATCACATGCATCAATGGATGAACCTGCACTTCGAACATCACTTGATAATTATACCAAAAAGCCTACAGTAGATAGCTTTTGGAGACTGGTCACTCATAGATTATACACCTTGAATTATATCTTGTTTGTCCTACCTTCAGATTCAGAATGTCGGCGACAGTTTTTAAATAGAATTGAAGCGGATTTAGCAACTATCGGTGATGGTCAAGAGCTCTATCGAGTCGGCGGTATGGAAGCCCACTTTGCTGTCCGATATGCATTAGAGCATAAACGATCAAGACGTAGAAAAACACTTTTAGAAGATGCATTTGAAGCAGAGAGATTACAACAGTACGGCAGTTTACCAAACTATACACTCGAAGATAACAAAACTGTGAACCAAGCAAGACTCATCATCGAGCAGTGTCTAGAAAGCGAGTCAAAGTTAGGTCATGCCGAAAAAGATGCCATGTATGTATTTCACAGCTTAAGAGCTGGGTTACTGGATGCATTTGAACCACATATCGAACTAGAAGAGGATAAATCCTTACGTCACAGATTAAAGAGACTTGTAGAACAAAACAAAGAAATGACAAAACCGACTTATCAAAACCCTTTTGAAGATGAAGAATGCATAGTTACCGAAGAAGACGACTCCTCGAATGAAGATAAAAACTCAAGAGAAATTGACAGTGGGTTTTTTGATGGCTGGATTCCAACAACTACAAAAACAACTACATAAGGTTTTATACAAATGTTTTTGTGTTTGTGTATGTGTGTACAACTAATGTATATCATTTAAATATATCCCTCTCTTCCCTCCCTTTCTTTGTTCTTGTAGCTTTTTAATATAGTATTCTTTTTATCCCGTAATGATCATTCTTGTACGGAAATGCACTTGGTTCTCCCTGAATGATAAGTAAATGATGTCAGTGCTTGCCAATAAGCAGTAATGAAAGTTGCCGATATTATGCAAACATAACACCTTTTTTCTAAATATTTGCACTTGCCATGAATGTGACTTTAGAAGAACAAGATGGATAAATACTTTTACTGTCTCAACTTGGATGATACATTTGTCAAAGGAAAATAGACAAGAGAAAGAAAGGCTTATCTATGGCATAGAGAGTAACTGACGACTTTTTTTTTTAAAAAAAAAAAAAAGCCTAGTATCCCTCTTTAGGCAAGTATGATGAATACATATAAAATGCTGTCAGTCTGTCATCTTGTTTAAAAAGATACACATATACGACTTTTTTATTATAGCCTTCACAAGTGGTTTCAAGTAATTCAATTTCACAGAATTGATAAGGGGGAGGTGTTTTCAAAGTCGAAAGCCATAACGTGAAGTTCAATATTGAATCCGTTAAATATTATACCAAAAATAACAAATTCTTTTGGGCTCTTGCTACCCTGGCATCTGTTTGTTCTCAATAATTGTGTCCGCTAAATTGCAAATAAGTGTATTTAAGTGTAATTGACCAAGTGTAGTTGCAGTAGGTGGATAATATACTTGATATTTCATCAACTTCTATCAGTAAATACCTAAGGTTAACGAAGATATAATATTTAAGAATCCCTGATTTTACTATACCATTTGCCACTCTTTAATTTTACAACCTTCTAGATCATCCAACATAAATCAAGGATATACGATTAAACAGTTATTTTTATTGAAGAAAATAAAAAGACCACTATGGGTGCATTGAAACTATATAATTTCGTCCCGCCCGGGCTAGATCAGAAAGTACATAGAATCTAAAAACCCTTTTGAGATCAAAGGGAAAAACGGAAGAAAAGAAGCGAAGGAAAACGAGTAAGACGGATATGAAACAAGGACTGGGTCGCAAGAAGTTAAGAGGAGAGAGGAGGTGGTGGAAGCCATTGGAAAACTTTCGCCCTAAGTCAGGTGGTGGAGGTGGCAATGAAGGATATACACTCTTTCTGGAAATAGTGTATGTTTATATAAAAATATGAACAAATGCTGTCAGTTAACGAATTCAAAGAAACTTACAATCTGTCATAAATTGAGATGCTGTTGTCATATAAGAGTTCTTTGTTATTAGTTTCACGTATATCCACCTCCTGTAGTGTCAATATATATTTTCTTGTCAATGTTTCAGCATAATTGCTGGGATCCTCGGTTTGATAAGTGTGGTCTGTCTCATCTTTGCAAAATGAATTAAATTCCTCCTCCAATTGAATACCAGCCTTTGGTGATGGTTCCAGCTGCGAAAAGTTATCCACACCAGGATGATAGTCATTATCAGAACCCTTATTGCTGTTGCAATCTTCTTCTTCATCTATTCGGAACAGTGTAGTTCAAGCAACGTTTAATTGCAGGCACTTTTCATATTTAACTTACTGTGTTTTCTCTTTTTCGTGCTGTTAATATTCATATTGATATGATCGGACAGTCCTGCTACCATGAAAGTTATTTGCTATAAGTCCAAACTGGAAGAAGTAATTTTTACATTTATTAATGATCATAACCATGGTCCTATTGGCAGCAAGGAAGACTTTCAATAGTTGCCTGTTTCAGAGGGAACAAAAAGATACATCTTTCAGAAACTTCAAGAAGGATTTACGTGTCGAGACGTACGCTTGTCTGTTCAGCGTGAATTAATGAAATATGCTCATGATCATTTCCGTATCATTGTTGATCACCATTCCAACGCTTCATCAATTTGTGAGATTACTTACCGTGATCAACTGATAGATCCTGAATTAGTTTACAACCAGTACAAGCGTATACAAGAGAACGTATATTAGCGTTATAATGACCAACATGGGTCCATCAAAATTTGAATTGGCGAGCTTAAATCCAAGGGTTACAGTGCCTACATTGGTGATAGTTCTAACAGCAGCTACACCTTTGGATTTATGTCCCCATGACAGAAGAGCCTTTTCCTAAAGTCGTCTTACTTCTGCTTAGATGTAACCCATAAGACTACCAATATTGACCGTTGCCTTTTATATACTATCGTTGTTAGACATTCATTTACAAGCACAGGCTGTCCAGTTGCTTTCTGTTTTACGACGAACCATTCTGCAAGACCTATTATTGAATTTCTATTTTTTGTAAAAAGCCAAGGTCATGTAGACGTCCAGAAAATAACGATTGATGTCTCCAGCGTTGAGCTAAATGCTATTCAGGCCGTGTACCCAGAACCTCGAATACAATGGTGCCTCTTTCACGTCGCTCGTGCCTGGATGGCAAAAATATATCAAGACAGGCGATACCCATCAAGATTCAACTGAACGCAAAAAAGCCATCACAAGTTTGAAGTCGCTAATGTAAGAAAGAAATGCATCAGAATTTAATAGAAAGCTGCAACCATTTCTTCTTGACTTTGGGTCGTATACGCAGCTGGTGTCTTATCTTTGCATTTCATATTTCAACAATGACAATTTCAAGCCCTGAGCAAGAGCATATCAGCCCGCTATCTATACCAATATGGAGACCAGCAATTATATTGAAAGCTAGCACAATCAGCTGAAAACGACATACTTAAAAAGAAAGCAGAGCCGGAGAGTAGACAGGCTGATATCCATACTAGTGAATGATGTTGAAGAGGATTATCTCCAAAATATACAAAAGTTGATGCTAAACGTTGGTAGGATGGCCTCTGAAGAAAGAAGAAGGGCGAGGCAAATAAAAACCGATCAAATCAACCTGGAGTGTATTCCTGATATGATTACAGAAAATGGCACACCTGGAGTTTACCTAGTCCAGTCGTTCAGCAATGTAGAACTTCAGCACGAAATCACTGTAATGGAAAATGAAATGAAGAGCTGCACCTGTAACAATTTTAGGTACAATAACATTGCTTGTAAGCATATGTATCTGCTCAATCGTTTACATGCTGGAATAACTCTTAAAGATAAATTGCAAGGTGTACGTATTTGTAGATAACTCGTACAAAAATCTACTTTCATTTATAAGGGAATATCGCATCATTTGAGCAAGTAGACTCGGTTGTTCAAGTTGATGCTATTAACAATGCTGCTGAAAACAGAGTTGTTGTTACAGAAAATTCTTCTACGTCTCAAGATAATCTAACAGCTGAGATGGCTAATCTTCTTGCTACTTATCACTCTTATAGAAAATCCATACCGAGTAACAGATGAGCAAATAGCAAATATAAGTTTGGGATCAGAGATGATACTATTTGCAATTGACGAAAATAATACTAGAAGAAACAATGCAACAAACCAAAATTTTTTAACCCAAAGACGATAAAATAAAGACGTGATTTATATTCCTTCAATTTAAATTTTAAGGTTCCCTTAAGTAGCGAGGGTATAAGGGGATGCGGGGATTGCCCTCAACTATAATTGCGTCATCATGTATTTCATTGTCCGACTTCAGGCTAGAAAAAATATTATCAGCCAGCCTGAACTTGTTCAACTTTTCCTTGCTTGCTTCAGTAATTGTTACATTATGTCTTGGAATTCAAAGACTTGGTCTTGGGTTAAAAAATATTTCTCTGTCGTAAGATCTCGAAACAACTTTTCAATTCAAAGATTCTCATTTACATCGGCTAGAACCCTTTATCAACAGACGGTATGCCCGTCGTTGGCAAATTCCGTACACCTGCAGTTGGGTAATGTTGTAATGTTTAAAGTAATCAATAGAAGTTAACATTTGTACAGTTCTCGACCTGAAAAATATGTTTATCCTAAAACAAAAGCATCCAACATCAGCAACAACTATTATTTCCAACGTGACACTCGTAGAAACTACCCTCGCTTAGCTGTATACACTCAAAAGGAAGTTGCTGGTCTTCTTGAGGGAGCACCTGTCAAACCAAGGTAATAGAACATACACATGATATTTTCAACATTGTATTTACATGATCTTCACATGCAGCCTTACCCCAGAATTAGCCACTGACATTGCAACAACTCCAGAGGTTAAACCTCTTGTCGAAGTTTTGAACTCTCGTCAACTTTATTCTGCCAGCAAGCCTGCTCCTACTCCCAACTTTGGCCGTAAAGTTCACTGGAAGGCTTCTGAGGATTTCGTCCCACCCAACGATGGTAAGATATAGTTTAGTCGTTATCAATGTACCTGACATATATTTCTTTTTATAGGCTCATACTTCCCTATGAGAGTCATTACCACGTAGATATAAACAGATACATTACACTAAGAATAAAAAGCGCTTTTGTATGAAACATTATGACGATTTGCCTTTTTATGTGTTGGAGTTTAGAAAGATTAGAAGGAAAAAACCATACTGAACATTACCGTATATTGGGCATCATAAGTATGTTTGTGGCCTTTTCTTAGGTGAAAGATAGCAACTTAATATCTTTTCCAAACATGAAATCGAGAGCGATGTGATGCATAACGATAGCCAAGTAATGTATTTGTTATCCTGTCCTGAATTTTTGCCATTTACATGTTTGTGCATCTATTTCTGTAATGGGTTTATATACTTGATAGCTACAATCTCTAAAGTCAGCCTTACAGTAAAATAAGAAGCATATTGTTCCTTTACTTGTTATATTGAATGATTTGTAGATCAACACTTGTAATCATATTACTTGGTGTCGCGTGAACAGTATGATAATTTTTGCTTTGATTTCCTAATCTTCTATCAATCTTGTATATTATGTTATTACATGTGATAAGCAAGTCTATAATCTATCGAATTGATTTACTCTAACGATGTTGCCATCTGATTTCTTAAAGATTATCAATTGGATATTTGTTTAAGGAAGACACAATTATACGCAGGTGCCGCATAATCTATTTGAAACAGGGCGTATCTCTTTACAGTATCGATTATCAGTCGTTGCTTTAATAAAAGTGAAAGACAATTGAATTTACCACTGAAGTCAGAGCTTGGGACTTTCAAAATAGAGATGTTCCAATCGACACTCCACTTTAGAGTTGAAGGGTAATTTCATGCTATGTCAAAGTAACCAATAGAACTGAATACCAGACAATCGCTTGTAATGTGTGTTACAAAAAAGGAAGAATCTCCGTACTTTAGGGCCTCAATGGTGTGAAATACAACTATTTTTAGTAATTTGCGTTGTCTTTCATTGTCCTGAAACGCGCTTTCCCAGGCACAGGATAAAATTACAGCTTTGCTCAACACACTTGTTACTTTTTGATTACTGTCAATAGCAACGAATATGAGTCACGCGGCCTTCTTTTTTAATAGTAAATATAGCATAGAATGATTCTTATTTTTTTTATTTATTTTGAAAACATGCTGACAAAGATGTATGCAGTAAATCAGAATTATTCTAAGAAGCTTATTAAGGTATAATAGAACAAAATATAAAGTAACGCCATATTTATCGATTATGGATTGTGTAAAGCCTTTAGGATGCTATATCTGCCTGACAGGAGAATAGAATTTGTTACAGTAATGGCGTTCTTCAGGACCAACTTGTATTCATTACTCTTTCTTTTCCTTGTACCGCTTGTTAATCTATGTAATAGCTTAGTCTTGGTGTATTAGAATTTAGACATTGTGCTTACGTAAACACTTGGTTACACCAACTCAAAAAGCTTGTCTGCTACAGTGCTTGCTTTTGAACAAAAGAGCGATATAAACGCCTAATGGTAATCGTAATGCTTGAGTCCATACTTAAATTCGTCGTAAATACACTTTTTAAGCTTTTATGCGCGGTAATAAACTGTTTACTCACCTCTTTTAAGGCAATCTAACACGACATTATCGATTGTACACCAATTGAATTCCGTAAAAAAAAGCTTTCAGAAATATACTGAATATATATCTCCACTTATCATGTGGAATAAAGCGGGATTTAAAGAAGAATAAAAGGGCCACCCTTGCTACCTTAAGGCAAGACCGAATGGGCCAACGTACTTAATCAGAACCTGCTCAATTAATAAGTTGCTTTTTAGTGCTTTCACTGTTGTCATAAACTGTCCTACCAACCTTTCATTTTACTTTATCAGTATATAAATAGTTGTCATGGGTATTTCACATGGGAACAGTCAAAGCAACGAATTCTACAAAAAAAAAGTGAGCATATACTTGTACTACTTGAAAACATGGAGAAGGTTACATTGGTGGTCATGGAGATTGGAACATCGTATTACAAATAACCATTGAACAGCGGATCTAGAAAACAATATGATTTATAAATTTTTCTTCTGAAGACTTTACTTGAAAAGCATCTCTTTGCTCTCCATTCTTTTTTGATAATCTCTTTTTACTTAACGTCAATCATTTACAATCACTTGCTTGTTATAATTTAATGCCTAATAGCACTAATAGTGGGCAGCATTTAGCCCTTGATGAAAATCAAAATTATGTTCACGAGTATACAACACACGAGACATATCAAGATGTGGCAGCAAGAAATACAGATGCTGACTTTGAGCAGTATTATGAAAAGCCTGCAATGCCTCAGAAGAAACCATTTTACAAGAACAAAAAGTACTGGATCATCTGCTCTGTTATTACTGTCATTGTCGTCGTGGTCGTCATCCTCTTGGTTCTTTTTGTTGCCTTCCCAAAGATCGCTCAGCATACCATGAACCAATCTCGAATTGAGGTTAACGCAGCTCAAATTACGTTTGAGCCTCCACCTGGCTCTAGCTTGCAGCCCGTTGCTGGTGCTGACCCCAATTCAACGTTCTATATGCACATGGTAACGGATCTCAAGAACACTGGCCCATTCAGTGCAAATATCCAATTCAATAACGACGTGCAAGTACTATTCAATAATACCGTGCTGGGTACCATTACTCTTCCAGATACTCATATCAGTGGAGGACACGGTTCGATTGATACTGTCACACTTTTCAAGATTGCTGATGTTGCTGCCTTTTCTTCCTTTTCAAAATACATGCTAGCTAATGAAAAGTTCACCTGGACTTTGGATGGAAAAGCTCGTATCACAGCTCTTTCGAGGTAACATCAATAGAGAACTCAAAATTTGTTCAATATCTAAAGCATTCTTAATAGAACGGCTGAAGTCAGCATGAAAAAAGATATCACGCTTGAAGGCATGAATGGGTTCCCTCAGGTTAGAATCAACTCATTCCAGCTTCCTGGTGATGCTCCTACAGGCGGTATCTTGCTTGAACTTGGCACTGTACTTACAAGTCCTTCTCCAATTGGTGTACAACTTGGCCATATCGAAATGGACGTCAGTTATGATGGTGTCGACCTTGGTATTGTCAAAGCTGACAATGTGATACTTCAAAAGGGCGATAACGATATCGTCTTGAAAGGGACACTTAAATCACAAGCAAATGACCCTGTTGCTCAAGAAAAGGTCGGCAAACTCTTCTCAAACTACATTGCTGGTCTAGTCTCCAATACTACCGCTACTGGTGTTTCTGCGGCTCCTAATGGTAAAGACTCCATCACTTGGCTCTCTGAGGGTCTTCGATCTGTCGTCCTTCATGTGGCTCTTGGAGCTGATAAGCCCTTAAAGATCATGAACGCTGTTAATATGGGTTATTTAGACCTTGCTTTCCAGAGCAATGCTCCTTACTCGCCTAGTCTTCGTGCTCCTGCTGTTACCGCTGGATACTCCATGCCATTTGGGTTTGCCTTGAATATTACTGAAGTAACCCAGAATATCACTCTTGGCTTGAACAAGTCTGGTACCTTTGAACCTTTTGCTGTGCTCAATGTTCCCTATGTGCCTTCCACAAGTGACCAAAGCTCTGGCAAGCTTCAATTTGCCATTCCTCAAGGTTCTATTGCTGGTATCCCTGGAAAGGAGAGTACTTTCAACGAGTATACCTTTGGCCTGACCTCCTCTGGAAATTACACTTTTGTTGTCGCTGGTAACGCAACCACAAAGGTCAACACAACCATTGGTCCTCTTGTCCTTTCTGGCATCAACTTTGAACTTCCTACTAGCATTCACGGCTTAGAATTCTTGAACTCTTCAGCAACTGTGATCAACTCCTTGGATGTTACTGGCGGTCAAAGCGACTACTTGGAATTGGCCATCAACGTTACCATTAATAATCCCTCTGACTTCAGCATTGCTACAGGAGATGCTTCCTTTGACATGATTGCAGCTTCTACTCAACTTGGTAAAGTCATCCTTCGTAATCTCACCTTGAATCGTGGTGCCAATACTATCTTGGCTGCTGCTCAGTTTGACCCCAAATCATCCCAAACTGGTCAATCGCTCTTGAGCAACTTTGTGATGGGTCAAGACAACACAGTTGAGATACAAGGCAACGCAAACTCTAGCTCAATAGTGTCCTTGGCTGAAGGTCTTAGCGTTATTTCACTCTCCTCTCAACTTCCTGGTCTGAAGGTTGCTCTCATCCAGGGATCCTCACTTGTTGTACCTCCTAATGCTGCTAATGATGGAATGGTCAATGTCAAGGTTTCTATTGCCAATCCTTTTAGCGCTGGCATGACCATTACTAAGGTGACTTCAGCTGTTACTTATAACGGCATGCCTGTTGGAAATATCGACCAAGACATTAGCAATAACCCTATTGTTATCCCTGGTAAATCCACTGTCCAATCTGGTGACCTCTCTATGCAAATGAATATCGAGCCTGGAGCTGTTGCTCTATTACTTCGTACACTTGCCGTCAATGCCAACTTGAATACTCGTCCCTTAGACGCCTTGCTGACCGTTGGCGGCTTCAGTATTGACGGCCAAGAACAAGTTTCTGCTGACCCAGAGTTATTCAACGGCTTTAACATCTCCAGTTTTGTCATGGATGCCATGAAGATCTTGAAGGTCGACCTTACACTCGCTTCTTCTCTGAAGATTGGACAATATGACAACACTCTTACTTTCTCACAATCTGCTGTTCAAACCTCAACTGATTCTACGGTTACTTCTCTAATTCCTATTGTTGGTCAAAAGATTGTTCAGCAAATTGTCGATGCATCTGTTCTCGCTTTTGATTCCATCATCATGTCCGAGCCTACCGAGTCTAGCTTCAAGGTCCAGATGAAAGGCTCAATTACCAAGACTGGCCCTATGGCTGCTTCTATTAGTTTTCCTACCCCCTTGACTGTGTCATGGCAAGGGAAGGTTCTTGGCCACGTATCCATGCCTACAATCGAAGCTAAGCCTGGTTCTGGTGCTACTTTTGATGTCAATGGCGAGTTTAGTATTGCTGATTCCGGAAGTATGACCGCCTTTGCTACCTACATGATCAACAATGGAAACTTTGAATGGGAGATTACTAGCGATGATGTTAATGTTAACGCCTTGGGCTTTACTTTTGGAAAGATTAAAATGCACAAGTTTGTCACTCTTTCTGGCGCCAACGGCTTCAAGGATGCAGTCAAGATCAACAAATTTGATCTTCCTAGAAACAATGCCAATAATAATGGAATCGTTATTACTGTCGACTCTGTAATCTCCAATCCCAGTCAAGTTGGTTTCAATTTTGCAAGCGTAGCTTTCGACAGCTACTATAAAGATATCAAACTTGGTCCTCTCAGATCTGTTGGAGCAGCTGTCTTTCCTCCTAAAGGCAGCAACGGCATGAACATGGAAGGAGAGCTTGTCAAACAAGATTCAGAAAAGGGCCTCGCTGCTGTCACTGAAGTGTTTATGAACTATCTGAGTGAAAAAGACTCTATCTTGACTGTCAAGGGTGTCTCTGCCTCTGGCCCTAATGGTCCTGTGTCTTGGCTTTCGACTGCTTTCAAGACTTTGGAGATTAAAAATGTTGTTCTTCCTCGACCTACAACAAAGCCTAATCTCATAACCTCTGTCAACATGAACGATCTTCAAATGGACTTTACAAAGAATCCTTTTGCAGCTCCTGCCGGTTCTAAGGATGTTGTAGCTAAAATCAATAGCCCTTTTGCTTTCCCACTTGGTATCTCCTCAATGAACATGAAGGTGGACGCTACCTCTGAAGGACAAAAGGTTGCCAACTTGGACGTGCCTAATGTGCCTGCGACATCAACACCAGATAACGTGGTTCATGCTGGATTTAGCGATGTTCCATTTAAGGTTTACTCTGGAGCCGAAGCTACATTCACTAAGTTTGTGGGCGGCCTTACGTTACTTCCCAAAGTTGGTTTTGGTTTAGCTGGTGTAGTCAATTCAGTGGCTAATACTGCTATTGGTCCTATTCATCTGAATAACATTCCATTTAATGTCGAGACTTCATTGAATGGTAAGCAAATACAGTATATAACTTTAATATATTTCATACTAACTAGGATTGATTAGGATTTGCTGGCTTTGGCGGTACCTCAGAAATTCTATCCTTAAAGGTTGTTGGTGGCTATCCTACGTATATCGCAGTTGAACTCGTTATTGCCTTAAACAATCCCTCCAACATCACAATTACAACTAATGATCTTACCTTTGATGTTGTCATGGATGCCACTGGTTCTTCCATTGGCTCGGTTACTTTATCCAAGCCAACTATCCTCCCTGGTCGCAACGAGATGAAAGCTAATATGAAAATGACTGGTACGGATCTTCTTTCTTTGTCAAGGGCTCTCACCAACTACCTAACTGGACAAACGACTGCATTAACTGTCAAGGGTACCGAAAAATCTACCGATATTATCCCACTTCAGCCAGGTCTTTCAAAGGTTCAACTCAAGACAAATATGGTTGGCATTCCCCCTTCTCTTGTGGTTGAAAGTCAAATGCAACTTGCTGGTTTAACTTCAGTTAACATTTGGGTCAAATTCTATAATCCTCTTGATACCGTTTATACAGTTGCTGCTGTTGATACCTTGGCTTACTTTACAGACAAAACTGGTAAATATCAACTACTTGGCACCATCCAGGGTGCGTTTAATCCTGCTGTCACTGTCCCTCCCAAAGGAACTGCTATTAGCGAAAACCCTGTTACAATGAAGCTTGCCAGTTTGGGTGTGGGTCTCAGTTTTATAATGCTTCCCGAAGACCAAAAGAAGGTTGATCTTATACAAAATGTTACTGTCGTCGTTGGCGAAGGCTTCAAGGGTGGGATGCATTACGAGCAAAAGTCTGTCCCTGTAGTAAATAGACCAGCCAGCGCCGAAATTCAAGCCATGGTTAATTCCATGCTAAGTTCTGCTGCTCCTTCCTCTGGCATTTCTTCTGCTACTTCTACCGTATTGCCCACAACTACTGCTGCAACACCAGCTGTAACTATGACTGCTACACCAGAAACGACAGTAGAGCCTTCTTCAACAACTACAACCGCTGCTTCTCCTAATGCCACTACGACAAAGGTTGAGCCAACCACTTCTTCCAATACTACACCTCAGGCAACAACACCAGCAGCAACAGTGGAAGCAGCTTCAAACGATAACAAGCCTTCCGATACGAACAGCACTCCCTCCTCAGGCACTTCTAACTCAGGTTCATCTCCTGTAGCTAAAGAATTTGTATGGCCATTCTAACTTTAAAATATATTTTACCTACACCTTATGATTAATTATTAATAAAGGCTTTTTTTTTATTTTATTAATCCTAATGAATGCATTTTGAAACCATCAAATAACTTATTTTGCAGAATTGGCCCTACAATGACTGAAAGGGTAAACAGCGTGATGATTACGAATATGATTTATTTTGCGCCTATAGCCAACGGCTGTAATTCATGCTCATGAATAATTAGCTGAGCCGTCTGCTTTTTCTTATTTGAAGCATCATTTTTTTACAAGAGTTCTGTAAAGTAATACATGTAGCATGTATCCTAATAGAGACACAGAAAACCAAATCCAAGAATTCGTCTGTGTATGTGCATAATGAAAGTTGCATAATATCTCCCGGTACAAGTGGGCCCAGGACAGTTTATGTTGCGATTATTATACAAGTTCAGCTTCTTTTCCTGACTCATACTATTTTTCTAAACACGAGAGAAAGTTTCGTTGAGTGATGTTTCATAGTTAAGGAATATATTATTATTATTTTTTTTTAATCGCATAACAGGTGATTCAGATGCCAGCAATAGGCTCAAACCGGGTTTCACCGATTAAGCTGGCCTAAAATAATTATCCATTGTGCCATATAAATAAAGTTATCAGACCATTATGTTCTCTGCATATTTTATTATTACATTATGGATCTTGATAACTTACCACCTCTTACTCGATTGCCTACCACATTCTTCCCTTCTCCCTCAAAGACTTTTGATGGCCAAGAGTCTCGAGTTGTTGCTATTGCTTATGACTATTCAAACTATGGAGATGCCATGATAGCAAAATCAATTCATAGTGACCTGCTTCGTCCCAATGATGATATCCGTATCCTCTACGTTATGAACCAAAACGATTACCATAATCTATTCACACCTATGCTTACAGTCTACGGCACAAATGCAAATTATGATGATTCTCAAGATGCTTACTTGAGAAATGCAGTAGACACATTCATGTGGGAAATCGTCACTGTGTTAAACAAGCGTGGTGTAAGTGTATTTACATTTTTTTCTACACAAAAGGCATTAACGAAACCCTAGTTTCACAATGTATCTTCAGAAATTTTGAGAGGCGATCCAAAGGAAGTCATCGTCGACTATTGTCGTGCGGTAAAGCCTGTTTATCTGCTGACAGGAACTCGTGGTCTTGGTGCTGTTAAAAGGTAATAATAATAATAAAAAAATAAAGACATTGGATAACGTGTGCTGAATCCTTCAAAGGGCTGTTCTAGGATCTGTTTCCAACTACTTAGTAAAGCATTGCCCTTGTCCTGTGCTAGTGATTAAACTCAGTTGTAAAGAAATAGAAGCGCGTAAAGAACTGAATCGCAAAAAGCAAGATACCTTCACAGAAGTTTTAGGTAATAAAAGAGAAAAAGACATTCACTCATTTTGCTTACATTATTTCTTGTAGCTAAATTTGATTATCCTCAGCCTATTTAAGCTTTAATACCATATTTTTATATTCATAGAACTATGTATCATTTTATCCTTAATCTTTAAGCCCTAATATACTAAAATGATACAGACATTCAAAATGAGTAATTTTATGAAAAACATTGCGAGTCTGCTCTATATTATTGCTACTTTTTTATTATTTTACTGAGGGAGAACACAGTAGAGCAATTTCGAATACTATAATTTTGGAAACTGGTAGAAAGACTTTGATAGTTTGTTGGAGCCTGATTTGCAAAAGTACATACACTGGGATTCGTTGAGTAAACATTTGATTAAAGGATATGGTTTTATTTGAAAGGAAAGGCATTCAAGAAAAGAGAAACATAAAACACCAACCACAGCAACCATACCAGCAACACAGACAAACACAACACTACTGCATCGTCGATACACCATCGTCCTTCTTCTTCACCCCGGAGAGCAAAAATGATAGCTCCTCCGGGGTCATCTTTCTCTTCTGTTTGTTGGCCTTCTTCTTCACTTCCTCTGGTTCTTCGATATCTTCCACCTCCACTCCTGATTCAGCCATCAACGACTTGAATTTTTCGAGGCAAACTTCGCGCCCCATGTAAAGTCGAACGACATCACTGTCCTGCCAGTGCTGGAGCCTCAAAGCTGCCATATTCGACTTCTTTTTTTATTGATGGCTTTCTTTTCATCAAGCAAAGTACAACAGTGTGTTCATGACCTTCCAAGCAACTACTGGAAATATAAACAGCTATGTCGATGCCAGCAAAGGCTTAGTTATTTATGAATACTTCGAAAACGAATGGATTTCATGCAAGAAAAAATGGGCAGAGTATATTACGCGTAAGCTTAGCCATTTGGGATGTACAAGCACGCAAAGAGCTGAAAGCTCTCATCATGCTTTGAACAAGGGTGTGACATTTTACCTTTGGAAGGCGCCTTTAGGAACGTTAATGAATTCATCAAAAATTTCAAAAGAAAATATCGCTAACTGGACATTTTACTGTATGAAAAAATAGATATTTATCCAAATTCATAAATGGATATCTATTTCATAAAAGCTTAATACAGAAATGGTAGATATCCTTCGGCGCGATCTTTAACGACATCATCCCACATACCTACTATTTTAAGATGAATCCTGTCTCCCTAGGTGTGGTCCTTAAACGTTCAAGGTCGAAAAAAATGTTTTGGGGCATGGCCCCTAAGAAAAACGATTCGCATACTACATCAAATTATATTTAATCGTATTACCTCTCATTTTTTTTTAAGAATTCATGACGCAATAAATATGGCTTAGAAAATATTCTGATGACATTTTTAGAGTGCGCAGCAAGTTAAACATTTTCATCTTTTCCACTGCTTGGAATGTAGTATAATTATTTAAGAAGATTGTTTAAAAGATAATTATGAAAGTAAGTAACAATTCTTACACTAACTATCTGTTTTCAATGCTAAACTTTAATTATGCTACCAGGGATTCTTGAAATTATTGGCTTTATGGTAAATTGCTCTCTAAACACGAAAAAAAAGTGGCCCATCTTAGTTACACGCTTCATATACCCTGCCCTAACCCGGAGAAATTTCTGGCGATGAGCTGGTGGACGCAAGTGCCACCCCCCCGCTGGGAGTGGGAACATACAGCTATGGTTTCTAGGATGAAGCGGAGTGCTTGTCAACAACCCTGCCCTTACCCGGAGAAATTTCTGGCGATGAGCTGGTGGACGCAAGTGCCATCCCCCCGCTGGGAGTGGGAATGACGAGCTCTGCAGGCCCGTTTGTTCGTTTAATTTTTCTTTTTTTATGATAGGAATGTTATGTTGGAATAACAACAAAGTTGATGTGTACTAATTTTTCGACACGTATGGATAACAGTTGATGTATGTATAAACAACAAATTCCATTATTCCATATTCCATATTCCATCAGTTTGCATAAATTTATTTAATATTTTTTTATTCTAGATCTTTTCAACAAGGGCTTAAGGATGACTTTTCTTCTTTCAAATAAGCGCAATATTTATCAAGGGCTAGACAAGATTTTCGATATACAAATATGCGTTTCTTTTCTGGCTCTTTCGATTTTTTAACTTCTCAAATGTAATTGGAAATCATACTTATCCCAATCATTGTTGTCTCCGTTCCAGGTTCCGATGAGGTGGTAAAGGCTCTTTCGTGCCACGCTTTATTTTCAGATAATATATAAAAAATTTCGGTTCCTATTTCTTTAAATCTTTTTCGCGCCGCGTACTGTGGTAATAACATGCCCAATGATCAATCTGAACAATTGTTTACAAGAGAACAAGTCGAACAAATCATTGAGGACATGTCAAGAGAACTCAATCTTGACAGATCAAGTGAAGATCTCACAAACATTCCAAACGAAATCTTGGAAGAACTGGAGAACAGCTCGTCCATCAATTTGCAGAAGAGCATCAAAGAATTTGTTAAGAAGCTCTCAAAGTACGACGGTTGTGAATGGACCAACAGTGCGATCTTCAACAAAGAGTTCCACAGAGAGCTTAAAAGGAAAACTGTGGATGCTCTCCAAAGCACAAACGCAGTATACAAAGGAGCTGATCGACTCATCAGTGCGAGTAGAGCAGCAACAGACCTTTACGAAGAATGCCAACAACTTCTGGATCAGGAGAAAATGAAGAACAATTCTTTCACATCATGGAAGGCATCCGACAACCCGCGGTTTACTCTTACGCCACGAGTAAGGCCACCAACAGTGAAGCTAGGGCAATGGCGATCAAGGGGCTCAGACTCCCCGACAGCATCACACTTAGAAGAAGAACCTAGTGACATGGCCTTGACCTTGGGCAAGGAAGAGATTGAAAGAACCTTTCAAGCCAGATACGAACAGTCCATCCTTAAAGATGCAATTGGACGACAACAACAATCATTCAACCACAGTAACAGAAGATTTGGACCTCAACAGAGATATACCAAGGGCCGTAGATCCTTCCACAAATCTTTTTTTGGACGCAGCAAGGACCAATTACACACGGAGGTCCAAAGCTCCAATCAATCCCAATAAGACCGCCATCAACGCCGACGTCTTTTCCCGCGATAACAGCGCATTACACCATGCCAAGCGATGGTATCTTATCAGGGGGTCGTCTCCAAGGTTTCTCAGAGCAATGGAAACGGAAAATATTTCATACATGGCCTGTGTCAGTAGTAACACAAGGATATCAACTTCAGTGGAGCCACAAACCTCGATCAGGAAATATACTCCGATGAAGTCCACGGAAAAGGAGCAAGTAGCAGTGGACGAAGCAGTGAAGAAATTTCTGAATTCAGGCATAATCGAGCATTCCCTGTCTCAGTGCAAGAGCTTCCTATCGCAATTATTTACTGTGAAAGAACCAAACAAACACAGGCCGATATTGGATTGCACGAACTTGAACCAGTACATTCAATGCAATCATTTCAAAATGGAGGGAATACCAGTCTTACGAGAGTTATTAGACAAGAACGATTAAATGAGCAAAATAGACTTGAAAGATGCATATGTAGTAGCACCGATACGCGAGAACTTCAAGGACTATTTGACCTTTTTACATCAAGGCGTGGTGTACAGATACAAGAGTCTAGCATTTGGTCTCAATGTGGCGCCTCGGGTTTTCTCCAAGCTCATGAAGTACGCCCTGGAACCATTACGCAAGTCCGGAATCAGGCTGGTCTTTTACCTAGACAACATATGTGTGCTAACGAAGACGAAAAAAAAAAAAAATGCAAGAACATACATCCAAGATGATAGCCATTTAGAACAATTGTATTTTTTGATCAACAAAGAGAAGGGTATCCTGGCACCTCAACGGGCACAATCGTTCCTTGGTTTCTTGTTCAATTCTCAAGATATGACGATACAAGTTCCACAGGTAAAAATTCAGAAATTAAATATCAGGATTCGACAACTGCTGAACAACAAGGAACAGAAATCTTGTCAATGGATAGCGAGCCTTATTGGGAAGATAACTGCTATGATACCGGCGACTGGGGAAGAACTACTTCACGTGAGATATCTACAAAGGGACCTAGCAAGAGCACTCAGGTTACGCAGCCACAATTGGAATACACCGTGTCCGATAGGCCAGAAAAGCCTACAGGGACTGGAGTGGTGGTTAAAAGAGGCCCCATTGAAAAATGGCTTTTCAATCCGACGCAAACCACTAACACCAGATCTAACCATCTACACCGACGCTTCCGACTCCGGTTGGGGAGTAAGTTCAGCTTCAGTCCAAACAGCAGGGTTTTGGTCCGCAGTATAAATGCTTGCGAGTTAAAAAACATGCTGTTTGCGCTACAGGTTCATCTTCCACAGTACAAGGACTCAATCCTGAAGATATACTCGGACAATACGACAGCATTGAAGTATGTGAACAAAGCAGGGGGAACATCGTCAGAGATTCTTCAAGAACTAGCGATTCAAATTCAAGCAATCAGCAACAGCTACAACGTGAGATTGGCCTGTCACCACATTCCTGGAATTCAGAATACAATGGCAGATCGTCCCAGCAGAAAGAAGATACCTCTGTATGAGTGGGCGTTACCACGGAGATGGTTCAACCATATAAGGAAGCTACGGGGATTCAATAAGTTCAAGATAGATGCGTTTGCAGCGAGGCAAAACAAGAAGTTACCGGTGTACTGAATCAACTCCCAGACCCCAGTGCACAAGCAATCAACGCTTTTCATCAAAAGTGGCCAAAGAAGGGACTGTATTTAAATCCACCATGGAAATTAATCCCAAAGATTCTGAGGAAGATAAAAGAAGACAAAATCAAGGAAGCAGTGTTGATCACGCCGTTGTGGCCAATCCAGTATTGGTGGAGCTTACTGATGAGGATGAGACAACTGAGGACGCCAATACAAATGAGACTCAATCGGCAATGGTCCTTAGTCATATGGGTGTTGTCTTCCAAAAGAGGATTGCGGATGGCCTAACAACAGAAGATATTGACATTTTGGTACAGTCCACAAAAAAAAAGGACACATAAAGCATACGATCATGGATAGAGAGTTTGGTCAAATTGGTGCAATAAGCATGGAGTAAATTCATAAGCTTACGATCCAAAATCAGTGTATCGCTTTCTGCATGAATATGCACATCTGTCTGCACCGACTTTAAATGTCTACCGATCATCAATAGCCTCGGTATTCAGCATTATCCATGAAGATAAGTGCTATATTATAGAAAATCTACTGATCGTCTCACTTTTTCAAGCTAAACGAAAATCAGAAGTGAAGATCCCAACCATAGGAAAACAAGAGATTTGGGACATACAGCAACCGATTACCTACGTCCGTAGGTGAGGCCCCAGTGCACGTTTAGACCTAGCGAGATTGCAAAAGAAAACCACTATCTGGATCGGCATCGTGTCTATGATGCGATCTCCCTCGGACCTCGGCAAATTACAGTATAGAGACGTAGCTTTTTCATGGTCAGAAGACGGACAACTGCTTGGAGTAGCTTTAACATCAAGAGAACCAAAAGAAAGTCAATGGAAAACAATCAAGAAACCACCGCATCATGGATACAACAAACAATGAAAGAAGCAGGCATTGACACTAAGGCATACAAAGCACATCCATTGAGAGCAGCAGCAAGTACGTGGGCAGTAATACATGGTCACAAGATTGAACAAGTAAAGAAACATGCGAATTGGTCAAGCAACTCGGGCACCTTCGAGAAATACTATTATCAACCTTCCAACAAATTTCAAGAAAGCCAAGCAATAAGCAACACCATTTTTTCTACTACGGAAAACGCTACAACCTCATCGGAACCTGGAACGGAGGCAACAATGATTGGGATAAGTATGACTTCCAATCAAACAGTTGCCAAAGTGGAAGGTGAAGATGAGGTGTCACCCGCCCTTCAACTTTCAACTAGCTTTCTTCGCTGTTGTTCCCCTCCTAAGATAAATAGAAAAAATGAGTTAGCAGCGCTCAAAGATCTAAAGAAATAAGGATCGAAAAATTTTTTATTATATATTATCTGAAAATAAAGTGTGGCACGAAAGAGCCTTTACCACCTCATCTTCATCTTCCATTTCGACAACTGTTTGATTGGTGTTCTTCAAATCAATAAATACTATTGAATTTTGCAAGCATATTTTTTAATTTAAAACATCACTATATCTTGCGTCTATATAATGTAACTTGAATAAATGAAATTGTTCAAGAAATGTTTAAAAAAAAAAAGATTATGATGAGAATCCACATCGCATTTCTCTAATTTATTTACTTATGACCTTTCACTTGCAGCTGTATGAAAATTAATTATTTGTGGCTGTATATTTTATGGACTTTGTGGTCCATCCCTATTCAAATCTTTTGCATGCTTTTTTTCATTTAACCGAACTATCAAGCAATCAACATGGTCTTCTAGTGTCACAGCCGGCATCGAATCATAGTTTGCTTGATGCTCAATCTTCAGCTGCGCAAGGATGTTTATTGTCTCTTCAAGTGTGACCTGCGATTATTCATGCATTAATAAATTTTTTTCTTCCTTCTTTGTCAATGACAATATATACTCACGGTCAAGTTCAAATGTAGTTGAATGAAGTGTCTCAATGGATTCGCTTCTTTTGCATTATCATCATTCAATTTTAAAGGTATTTCACTCCTGTCTAATTTTGTCATGAGCGAAATATTTGCTTCAGGAAAACTGATTGACCAGTGCCGTACAGCAGAGCCTAGGGAGGTACAATAATAACAATTAAGATGTAAGTATTAGTAGAGCACCTTTAAAAATGTGTCGTGCTTCTTTTTTTTTTTAATACCAAATGCGTGTATGAAATGTATCTTGAGAGCCTTGAAAGTATCGAACGATGCATACTTGTACTTACTTGCTATGTGTTTCATAATCGATAGCACACCAAACATACCCTTGTAGTAATCGAATGAAAATTTTATATTTGTTGCCTTGTCATAGGCAGAAGATGCTTCCATGATCAAGACCTCGAGGTTATTCACCCGTAAAACACCATCAGCATAGTATTTATAACGTCCATCTGTTTGGCCATCCTTCTCTAACTCCCTTGTCATTGATTCCAACTCTTCTTCTCCTGTAAAGAAAATTGCCTTGTGTCCTTTGCTACGCAGATATACAGCTACAGCTTGTTGGACTGGCCATAAAGAATCTGACTTGAAACAATTCTCGCTGTGGATCAAGCTCTGGCCATCCGTTGGGAAAACTGTTTTGACACTAAATTGATTGTTATGTGTGATTAGTATGCTTGAATGAAATCAGAAGCAAGGAAGTAAGCTCACAAGATGTCTAACATATCTAACAAAAATTCCACTTGACCATCATTATTTTCATGAACAATACGTCGCAGTAATTTCATTTCTTCTCTCATATGTTGGATATCTTCCTACAATAGAAATTATAACATTAGAATATCGAATATTGAAATAATACGACCTTGAGTTTGGACTTACTGCTTCCAAAATTGATTTGTATGGATCTTGGCACGACTGTAAGATTGACACGTGAGGAGGAGGAGGTATCTCTTGTACAGTACGTGTGTATAAGGATTCAGGCATAAAAAAACGTCGGCGAACTAGCTTACCACACCATATAATACTGTGCCTCTCGGGGCTTGATCAGCAAATATTAGTATCTCTGTTAATCTGATCAATGTTTGTGGTAACCCAGTTTACCTTAACGCATGGCAACTAAGGGCAATATGAGGGTCTTGTAGAAACTCCTTCCACTCATCCCAGATAGTTGATCCCGCCTTCTCTTCTACTTTACTTAGATTCTCAGCTTCTCCTTGATCTTCAGCTTCTTTCTGATTCACTTTACGCCGTTTTTGTATCAGCCGTTCACTTTCATCTGCAGTTTCTCTAGCCATCGAAGCTTTGAGCCGTAGCTGTTCCGACCTCGATTAGTTGCAAATGCGTGAAAAATACATGTTGTTATTCACCTTAGAACTATTGTAATTCAAACTAGAATCACTAATTAATGCTACATGATTCTCCCAAAACTGAATAATAGTGTTATCACTATTAAGAGTCTAATTTAGAATAGATTAAACAGTTATTTTCTTGACAGGACATGTTCCTACCTGAAGAATCTTTATCAAGTTAGTGATTGCTGCTTCTGCCATAGTGCCAGGAACCACATGCTTTTTCATAAGGTTGACATCTTTTGCCAATCGTTGATGGGCGATCCGTTTTGACAGTTCTGGATGGGTTATTAGTAATTGTGTCAAGTAATTGACTGGAGCCCAGTCTTTAGGAGAGCACAAAGTCCAGAAATCTATTGGCACGAATAATTAATATCTATTGAGAATCAATCCAAAATATTACCTGGTAACCAAAGTTCATACTGTACTGACGGTGTCAAGGTGATTTTAAATTGGCTCATTGTTGATTGAGAGTAAAAAACCAATGCGGAATGGACTTGAAACAACAGAGAAACTATGCATAATTGTGTCACAAACACTACGGCTATTCAAAGTTTTTGTATTTACAAGGTGATATTAAATAAAACTCTCCCTTTTCTTTAATAGGCCATTGACCTCTCTACCTTCAAATGTTACATCAAAAGAAATGATTAATGTTACAGGACTATCTCTTTAATGTCTAAAGAGTACAGACATAAATGACTTATGAGGCATATGCTAGTATAAAGTAATAAAATTTGTCAGGAGGAAATGTGTGTATCATCGTTAACAGTGATATAGTACATATTTGTTTTTGGACAGGTGAATATCCCCTCAAGAATCAAGTGTACTGAATGGAATAATCGCATCATTTTCAAGTTCAGTAAATAGGAACTTGTATAATCATATTTATTCCTTTTGTCTCTTTTATTTTTATACTTTTTTTGCCCTCTTTTTGATCATTTATCTACGTTGCTGCTATATCTCTTTACTCTATGCTTTATCAAATTTAATAAAATCATTATCTATAGCAATATTATTCCAGTATCACACTCAGTTTATGAAAGTGGCGTATTGCTGTTTAAGCTTTTTTAATATAAAAATCATAATACAGTCTTGTCAGAAAGTGAAATCGCATTTTTGCAATTTTTATAATACGATTTATACGAAAAAGCGACAAGCCAGCGCGACATCTCTTTCTTGAAATAGTGTATGTTGTGCTGAATATAGGTGGCTATCCGCAGCTCAATTCAGCAGTTGAAATTTGTATGACAAAGCAATTTCATCAGAGATATGGTAGCAGAAGTTGACCAAGAGTGGCGGTTGAAAACGCATAACTAGTGATGTTTCCAGAGCGCTTCCATGACGACATCCAAGGTGGCGAGCAGTTCTCGAGGAGGATATATATCGTCAGTGAACCTAAGAAACGCACAAGTAAACCAAACAGTATCTTCGGAGCGATCAGGAAAGGACATGTTCAAGAGATCGAGGGAGGGACAACTGACAAGAAAATGACAGAGATCTTTAGTAGAGTCCAAATATACTTGACATAGTGGAGAGGACCAGGTTTGCACATTCCACCAATGAAACTTGGCTTGGACGCCTAAATTATCTAAATATATATATTTTTGTATGAAAGTGTGGACTTTATTTAATAAATTATGTGTCTATAGTGGAAGATAAATTTCGTTCAAAAGGCAACATCGACAGGAATCCGCTATGTTCCAATTCAAAACTGTTGACAACTGCAGCTGTATACCATGGAGTGTTATTGAATACAAACTGCCAGTGGTGTTTCCATATAGTTGCGATACCTGCGCCAAAGGAGCAAAGAACGTCCGTATCGACTATGGTTTGTTTATCTATAGGAATAAAAGAAGTGAGCACAGACCATATTTCATCTGCAGCAAGGAACTTGTTCGGCAGAGAATGTCTCAAAAATGGAAGGCCAGAATTTGAGTTTGAGGAAGCAGCTCACAAAGAGATGGTGGTCTGTTTCAACGTCTTATTGACAGAGTCTGCACAGTGGAGAGATGGTCACGCTGGGATTCTAGGCATGCTGTAAAACAGCCGTAGTAATGTAGCCATGTAACAAGCGAAACCATGGTGTGAAGGCCTTGGGAGATATAGTCAGGGACCAAAAAGTTTGCCAGTACTGAGGTCAAAGAAGCAGCGAATGAGGTAGAGCCAAAGGCGAATGACGTGGTTGTGTTAGCCAATTCAAAGTCTTTGTGCCATAAGAAACGCAGTTGGTAAAGAAGGACCTTGGCAATCGAAATAGGTACTGCATTGGATTTCTGCGTGGGTTATGGGGTTGTCCAATGAGCACATGAGGGCATCTAAAAGAAGGCGCTCTCAAATCTATCAGGCGCTGACATCAGAGACCCCAGGGCTGATAGATTGTCGTGATGCTCAAAGGTAATGCGGCTAATTTCTGGTTTCAGCTGCAAGGTAGCTGTAGCTGTTCGTCGGCTTGGGAAAAGACCCTTTCGAATTGCGTGAAAGGCAACTAACGTGTTGTCCATACATAGCTGGGTGAGTTCCGAGTATGATAGTGGTACCTGCGGTAGGACTTTGTCCACAACTAGGAGATCCTTGTAATTGATATGGAAACGGCGTTCGTGAGAGGATCAGAGACCAGAGAAGAGACGATTGCTACAAACTATTCCCCAACCCGTGTCGGATGCATCCATAAACACTTGAGTGACGGGTGTGTGCTGAAGTTATGAAACTCACCAGGTGAGTTCTTGTTTCATTGCTGGAGTGATAGGACAAAGGTGATTCTGTGTGGTTGAAGGTGGTGTTGCATGTCGTCGGTATCTGTTGAGCTTCTGTAGTAGGTGTCGGGTACGAAAGCGCGCTTGAGTGTTGCCAAATTGAGTCGCCATTCAAATAAATGAAAGTGTCTTCGATATATAGAAGCGCCTTATCAAGGGATCCAGTATTGCCATTTTGAATACAGCTCTTAATTTTTTCAAGTTGGGCATGAGTGTTGTCACATATTGCTCTGATTCCTTTTGTTTTCTTCTGTTCTTCACCAAATAACTGTTAAACGTTTTTATAGCTACCTTGTATGAAGTTTCATTGTTGTATCTTGACCACTACTAACAAGACGTTTTTTTTTTATATATAAGGGAGTACTGGTGAGCCAGTAATCCGGGTTTTATTTGAAATATGCAAATGGTGAGTAGTGTTTAGTGAGAATTAAAGCTCATTAATCAAAAGTGTAGCTGTTTTCATGGTGTAAGCGGAATACCATTTGTTCAAGAGAAGCGAGCATCGTTTGGCAAGTGAAATGTGTATCGTAAAATACTTTTTGCCAATGTGATTGCCATATGACTTGAAGAGTGCAGCCGAGTAGTGATAAAAGCGAGATGCTTGAGACAATTGAGCTGAGAGTATCGGGAGTGGTGTTTATATGAGATACTGCAATGGTTAGCATTGACTGTTCGATTTGAGTAAGCGAGCAGGATAACCCAGAAAAAAAAACTTATGGAGAGCCATTGCTCACAGCGCGGCTTTGTGAGAACAGGTGAAGAAAAATGAGACACAGTTTCATCAGCGGAACCATAGAATGAACACGACGCGGAAGGGTGTTGATTCGGAATAAGGACATATAGGCGTTGTTTACAAGGGATTGTTCGATGTAGCAAACAATACCACGTATTTCGCGCTGTTAGAGGGAGCGGTAGTCGCCAAAAAGATGTCCGCAACGCAGAAGACACGGTAGATTCGTATTGTTCCCGCACCAAGCTTCGTTACAACAGTAAATACTTACGGTAAGACTGATAACAGACAAGAGGACCAAAATCGTTCACTCTAGAAACACGAGGCCGACAAAGTGATGTCAAATCTATAGTGGCTGCATCTAGGTCAGGCGTAGAAGTGCTACCGGGGAACCACTAGCAAGATGTGTTATAGAAAGATATTGTGAACACAAGAATAAACCAATAACCGCTAAAGGATCCAACTGCTCAGTTGGTTTACTTGTTGATAGCGTTGTTGATAGCGTTGTTGATAATATTTGAGGCTGAGGTTGTAGTTAGGGTTGTAGTTAGTACTCGTGTAAATGTGTAGAGTAAAAGCAAATAAGTGATGAGTCTCTGTTTTATCCTTTTATTAGAAATGAGAGGAAGAGCTCATAGCAAAAAGAAATTAGGTTATCTTAAAAGAGGTCAGAGTACTAATTAAGGTACATGTAATTAAGTCAAATGTAATCTCACACGTAAAGATTAGTATTAGACATGGCCAAATACGACAAAAGATACGAGTGTTCAAGCTGTATTACCTGCTCCTATTCCTTCCACTAGCTGTACTTCTGCTCCCATCAAGGCCTCTAGAAAATATCAAGACAAGGTTGATAAGACTGAAGCACTTAAAAAGGAGAAAGAAAAGAACAAGACGACAGGCAATGAACAAAAGCAAGTTCGATGTCTTTCTTGTGGTTCAGCCGATCACTCTCACTCCTCCAGCAAGTTATATCCTATGAATAAATAAAAAATGAGGCTCTCAAAGCCTAAAGATGCCATCGAGAAAACTTCTGTAATCAAGACATCTTTGGCTAACGCCTGTAGATATCCCAAGTTTGTTACCTTGATTCAAGAAGTATTTGACCACATTACTCAACTTGTATATGCTGGATCCATTTTTGCTAATTACTATTTCTTGGAACTTCTCGAAAATGGTGAAGAGTTGCCTGTGGTCACTGAAAATTTGTTCTATAATATATTTTCCATCTTTGGCGGCCAAGGAAAACATGCTTCTGATAGTATCATGAAGAGCTTCAAGGCCTTTTGTGAATCTACTTCCCTTACTCAATATGACTTGGGTAATCATGCAAGTAAAGGTTATATGACCATTGTATCTTCTATGTCTAAGCAATATGAAACACTGGTCTGCAACTATGTATGCTGTACTTACGAAGGCAGAACTCTCAGACATATTCTTAATGTCCTGTCTGAAAAGGCCTCTCCTTACTTTCGTGGTGATAGCTTAACAGTTAAACAGCGCAAGTCTTTAACAAAGCATATCTTTCAACAAAAGATAAACTCCAAGTTTGCCTGATCATTCACTGTCGATCGAATAGAATGACATGAAACCATTGTCAATAGCTTTCTTACTTTCTGGTCAATGTACGGTGCTTCCAATGATGCCGTCGTACCAAGTGAAGCTAATCTGTATGCCAAGCTTCAATGCTACATGAAACGGTTACACTTTATACAGAAGAAAATGGAACAAAAGAAGTTCATTCAAGAAATGAAGCTTCAAGATAAAGCATCAAGCAGCTATGTCCATAGAAAGTTACGAGAGCTTCCTTTTGTCAAGAAACTAAAAAGTATTGTTTATTTGTCCGTTTTACTTAATTCTAATACATATAAAAGCTCTTCATCAATTTCATTCTTTTCATGTGTAGCAGCTAGATTAGCTGTTTCGGATTCTGCTGCTGATGGCCATTCATCTTGATCACTTGAGCCAGCATCTGAATGATTACTAGTATTAGAGCTGCCAACAAAACTATTCTTTTCGTTTGTATCTTGATCAACATTCAGACTAGCAATAACTGCCTTTAGCAACTCTTCGTCATCATCAACATAGTCATCATGTGTTATTGATGGTTGTGGAGCTACATCTATTGCTGAGGTATCTTGAGATAACATTAAAGCATAGTGCAGCATTTCTTCATCAGATAAGCCTTCCAGTGTCAACTTGCTTAATTTCATTTCATGGCGCTGTCTTTCTTTTTTTTCATTTTCTAATTTCTTGATTGAATCCTTTACTTCCTGATCAATTTCATATCTATACTTGTCCCGGGCATTGCCACTTCCAAATTTTCCTTTAGGTTTCAACTGCTTCTTATTTAACAATTGCTTTCTTGGAGAAAAGTCCCAGGTCTTAACCTGATGGCCGATAGTCGCGACACCTTGGTATTCACTGCACCAAATGTTCTTTACACGCATCACATTGACATCTGTACGGTCGACAGGCGCATTTTTAGGTATCTTATTGCCCAATGTATGGATATTAACGCCAGTTAAAGGATCCCACATGCGAATCCAACCATCATCGCTTCCAGTCACAATTTTGAAAGCATCCACATAAATACTGCTTATAGCAACTGTGTGCCCACCAGATAAAATTTGTATAGGCTTAATTATTTGACCATCTTTACCGACTTCATCTCCATTCCATAAGCAAATGACGCCCAAATCATCTCCAGTGACGAGCAAACGAGTTGCTTTAGCTGATACACCGGTGGCTAAAGGTGTACTCTGCCCAGATGATTTTGGGCTGGCCAAGTGTATGATATTGGCTTTCTTTTTGCTATCTGGATGAGGCTTTAAAGCTTCGTCTAGTGTGCTGAGATACGAAGGAGAGGTGTCCCACTGCATGCAAGTAATCGTCGTGCCCACAAAATGACCATCGCTAAATGATGCCGTGCAAATTCCAGTGTTGACATTAAACTTTTTAACTTCTGTTCGCCCATTATAAGCCACTATGATCATACTCGTTTCACTGTCGTATAGCATGGATTGAACAGGTGTAACAATACCACGGCTTCGAGGAGGAGAAATAACACGCTTGTTCTCTTCTATCTTTTGATAAAACTCTGTATATGCTTGCTGATAATTTTCGCTCCTTTGACTACGGCTCATCCGAAGGACATGATTGAGGTTTATGTTCCAAATGATAACAGTACCATCACTATATCCTGCAATAATTCTTTGATCGTTCGTTACTTCCAAACAAGTGGGTTTAGCTACAGCGGAAGGACCACTTAAAGTCCAGGCGCAAGAGAGGGATGCTACGTCCCAAATCTTGATTTGACCATCGTCCGCTCCACTCAAAATAATATCTTGATTCGTTGAAGGAAGCACCAAGATCCTCACGGGTCCTTGATGAAAATCTGAAAAAACCTTGAGTCTATTAGCAACATGAGCGCTTCTTTTCGTTCGAACCAATAAGGTGATATATCCAGGCTGAAATCCCCAGGCAATGCGGTCTTTTTCTACTTTGGTTGCGGTAACATGTAGCGGTATAGCTTCATTTGTACTATAAAGCAGATGTCGATCGATTTTCCCAGTCATAGGATTGCATTTGGCAGCTACTCCTTGCTCAGAGCTAGCAACGATCATACTTGCATCCTCAAAGTCAACATACATGGATTCTAAAGATCCTATTTTTGGAGCGAATGATATAACTGGTCCTCGGCTCTTTGTCCACTTTCTATTAAGATACACGATAAATGATCCTCTTTCTTTTTTATATTATTTGAATTTACCTTATCAAATGAGTTCGAAGTATATATTCAGTCTTCCAACTTTCTAAGCTTAATCTCTTATACGGTAGTTTTCCAAAATATGATATAAAAGCGTCTCTCCCTTGATGACTGTTAATAACTAATCCCTCTTATAATGTCTATATCAACTTACAGCAGACGTCATTGTTCACAATGTGCCTCCAGTAATGGCATACCTTGGCAACAGTAGCCAAGCTGATTGGATCCAATCTAGCAAATATATGGGTAACAACTTCTATCGAAAGCTGATGGATGTAACAAGGTGCACTAATGCCAAATATTAGATTACTATGCAGTTTACTATTTTTAGTGTAATACTTTGGATCTGGAGATCGTTGCTTGCTATTTCTTGATTTAGGCAAATCATGCTGTTCCGCTGTATTCTCAGAGTCGTTAATGTGTTTTATGTTCTTTATTGTTTGATTATTCTCTGCTCTTGTTGTATTGATTTGGTCGAAAGACATGAATTTGCCCAAAAAAGAAAGAAGTTGATGATCTAGCTGTTGTGTTGTTCGTTTGGTTTTTTTTTTCTTTCCTCTATTAATCCAAGAAAAAAAAATCCTCTTGTTACGTATAAAAAGACTAGAGATAGAGAGAGTGGTTCTCTTCTTTGATAAGAGAGAAAAGACTGCCGCAGTTGCCCTTGCCTTTATACAAATGTATGCTGCAATCCAATTTTTTAAAGATGAAACTCAGAAGCCTGTGCTTGTCATCCAATAATATTCGAAGCATTTTTATGTGCTTTTTTTTTTCAGTTTTATCAATATGCATCACCTGTGATACTTTTGCCCATGGCTGCTCTTATAACAATATCTTTCAATTTAGGATTTTGTAGTAGTAGCTTGTTCGACAAATCTATTCCGGGACGCACTGACAAAGTAACCAATAACATATCTGGTTCCTCCTTGCTTCTTTACAAATTCAGTTTATTCTTATTGTAATGGTTAATTGTCATAACAGTAGTGTTTTCGCGTGAGAAGCAACATAAAAAAAATGTGAAGAGAGGTTTTGAGTTGATGAACTGTGAAAAAAAAGGATCAACTTGAATTATTGAGGCGTTAATATTATGCGTGAGTTTATAATGAATCATGACACAAAAGTACAGCTGGGAGATGAGCCACTTGAAGTCTCTTCATAAATATGTCCTATACTCTCAGGGACTACTCTTCAATTCCGTAAGGAAGTATTTTCAATATGAAAATATAGAGTAAGAGAACCCATCTTTTGGTAGTGAAGATACAGAAGAATGCCTTTTTTGTATTCCCAATAGATCGTCAACACAATTAAGTGAAGATCTATTACACAAGAAATATGCTCTGCTAATGAAAATAATTCGATGGAATAATGCTCAAAGACGATACATGGATGCGAATCTGAGCCTAGAAGAACGCTTGTAAGCATGTATAGCACAGACTGATATTAATATATGGCATGTCACTAATGAGAACTACCTGTGGGAGGTAATATAGTGATTATTACCCCAAATTGCTTCATAGTGGTGCATATGAAGAAATCATTAAACTGTTGTTTCATTGGATTATCAGAGGTAAAGAAAAGTACGTCAAGTAAATATATTTTATTAAGATTAAAGAACAAAAATTCAGAGAGTAAGAGTAACAAAATGAGACTTTTATTTAAGTAAGCAGTGGTTTGATTTCCAAAGAGAGAGGGTGGTTTGGATAAGTAGAGATTTTCTCTTTTGATAGCCAAGTAAAGAGAGCAAGTGGAGACTTTTGTTTTGATAGCCAAGTTTAGAGAGTAAACAGATATTTCTTCTTTTTTTTTTTTCCATAAGTCCAGATGGTCACATTATCGCTAGCTTTCACACCCAAGATGACTAGAACCATAGACTGCATGCCAGAAGACTACACGGTGTAAACCTTCCATGAATAAAAAGCACTCAAAGCTCAAGGCTCAAAAATCAATCTCAAAACCATACCACGATAAATTCAACGAAAGAGGCGCTTCAATGTACAAAGAGTGCACTTCTAAGTACCTAGGACGAAGCGTTTCGAAAGGGGTGATGACCGTGGAGACATCGGAATATTGAACCTTTGGAGCATCGCGACCATCGAGCTCAGCATTAAGGGAGGGTTTACGGGCCATTCATCAGCTGTAGAGGCAGAGCCATAACAATAGGAGCATCTTGGAGTGATCCAGCGTAGAGAAGCAGCGACCTGTCGTATGTAGTTACTCCAGAGCAGTATCTACTAGCAGCAGGCGTTGATAGACATGAGTAAAATTCTTCAGGGACTTTCCGACGCTGATGATCATGGGACAGGTATTCACTAGCATTTTCAGGCACTGATGGTCACTTATAGGTATTGATAAGCATGGGTAGGTATTTAAGTACTTGTTTGATTGTTTGAGTGTATTGATAAGCAGTAGCAAGCATTTTTTGAGCATTAACGAGCAGTAGAGGTCCCTTTAAGGCTTCGCCCCGTGAGAGGTCATTATGATAGAGTAAGTTGCATCAGGAACCATAAAATAGAGTTAGCAAAAGTGAATTTTCTAAACGATGGCATTAGTTATATGTACTTTGAGATCACCCAAACGCTGTTATACCTTTTCAGCATAGGGAATGGTAAAAGCATAGAAGAATTTTTAAAAGAGATAAAGAATGAAGAAAAAGGAAAATAATGATGGTCTCTTTTATAGTTTTTTGTTTACGTGAGTCATGGATTTAAACTGAAAATAAATGGCTCATTCCTCCTTTTTCTCAATCTATCTTTTTCTAGTAATTCATAAATAAATAGCCCATCCTCTGTCTTTTCCATATTAGAGCACACCCGAACAGCTCCTTTTTTTTTTTTTTTAGTTTTTTAGTTTAGATTATGGAATGTTCTCTTGTATCCTTTTTTTTGTTTTGTTTTGTTTACTTTACATAATTTTCACGCCTCCCTTTTTTTTTCTGATGCCGCTTGCTCACATAAAGCTAACCTCACGCACTTACATACACACACACATAATTTTTTTATTATGATTGCTTCACTTTTCTTATTTCCAATGCGTGGTTTTTTTATCTATTTTTATTTTTCTGGTCGTTTTCTTTAATAATGAGTAAAAAAAAAAAAAAGTAAGGTGAGAATTAAATGTACAAGAAAAAAGGTTGAGGGGAGGACGGCATCCTTCAAAAACGCAGTTGATAGTAAACAAAAAAACAAAGCTTTTCTCAAAGAGCATTAGACTGCCGATTCTGTGGAACAAACGCTATTAATTCCATTACAGTTGTTATTTACAAATCAAAGAAAGTCAATCATGATTGATCTATTTGATTAGCACTATGACTTTTTGCTAAAAAGAACCAAAATCAAATCACCCTAGCCTTTATGTATCGAAATCTGTTTATCAAGCATGAAGTATAGGTGATTGAGTTGCTGGTTTAGGAAAACATAAGAGTGTGTATTGTTTTTACTTTTATTTTTAGTGCACATGAAAAAAGGGTAAAGGGTAAAATACTTATCCTCTATCCCCTGTTGTTATATCCCTATCCTTTTTCTTTCTGCTTGTGAAATGCAGACCAACATTAGCAATGACTGTGATCGTAGTAGATTTGATGACTATATGCTCATTTTTATAGTAAAGCAATGGATCTTTTAAGTCTGCATAAACTATTTCAAATGGCGCTCGAAACAGGATGGGTTGCTAAGGTACACGACATACTTCAATTAATGACTTTATTGTCATGGATACTCGCGTATCATGAATGAAGAGTATTATCAAATATATGATTTATTGGGCAATGAGAAAAGAGATTTTTATGACCATGAAAAAGAATATGAATACATAAATGCGTGAAGTGGATAAAAATAAGTCTATATGGAGATA